AATTTGTTGCACAATGAAAACAGCAGGAAAAATAAATTGGATAATTATGTTACGATCGACTCAGTTATTTTGACGTCACAGCCACCTTAGTGATTATTCAATCGATAACATGGATCAACCAATGAATACTTCTCTTAGTTTTGGTCAACAAATCTGAAAACAAGACCTTCATTGATCAAGAAAAACCTGTCCAACAGGTTAAACCACCTAAAAGTAGCACGTGAGATTCCCCGCATTTTATTTATGAGATAAAGGCAAAAACGCTATGACGTCAACGGTGTTAATATATTCCACTTCACACTACTTTCATCACGCGCTTTGTTATTAATAATAACTTGTTGTTAATCAATTGTATGCCGTGCAAATAGGCCACTTCCGAGTTCCAAAAAACCCTCACTTTCAAAATGAGGCTAGGTGCACAACCTTTCTTGTGAAAATTAGTTTTATTTGCATGAGAATGAAAAATCATTTCCATATCAAAGGTTGAGCACCTGTCCTCGTTTTGAATCAGAGGCCCGGCCGGGGGAACTCGGAAATGGCCTACTCCCACTGCAGCGCAAGGCAAGTCAAATGGTTGTCAGTATCGTGATAAACATTCTGTGAAAACTCAAAACCAACCTAGCATTCTAGCAGTGGTTGAGCTGTGCATTAGCAGCAGGGTATTATACTGGTTGTGAATAAATTGATTAATTGACACTTTAATTTCTAACTGCTAACTCCTTTAAGGTAAAGCTTTTTTTGCACGTGAGGTGTCGTGACCTGGTTCATCTTTATGTTCTTCTCGCACTCTCACTGTGGGATTCCCTCTGGGAGAGGGGATTTCCTCTGTGTCTGTGTGTTTCTTGCCCCTTCAGCTTGCCTGGGGTCCCCCGCCAGGGAATCAGGGCTAATGTTGGGTGCATTATGCATAAGAATCCAATCTTTTTATTCAGTATTTGTTATGAAAGATTGCGATAAGCTGATCTATGAATTTAGAAGAGAATTAATTATAACTTTCGCTAAAAAAAACAAATTTTGATATAAAATTACTTTACATGCATTTCAAAGTTTTTATATTATTGTCTTTATCTTTGCAATTTATTTCCCTTTACAATGGTTGATTGTTCGACGACAGTTTGGTATCCTACTTTCTAACATACCGTACGATACTGTATTTTTATAAGGTTATTATCCTCGCGATGGCTTCATTTTCGTTGGAGCAACTGAACTTTTTTAAGTTTTCATCAGTCGTACTTGATGAATTTCCAATCGCCCTCCGCCAAGTTTTTGTTAACATGTGGGACAATCAAGTCGCTCCTACACCAGGCTTTCAAAAATGAGACGACTCACCTCTGGTTCGCAACATGTTTCTCAGTAAAGAGGGTGGAAAGACAAAATATGTTCCAACCGGTAAATCATATCATGAGTGGGACTGCACAGCGCTGTTTGAAGCCACTCTCTACGCTCAGAGCTTTGCCATTCCGGACGGGAGTGGAGGCCTTTCAACTTTGAACAAATTGTACGTGAAGCCCCGTCATTTACCAAGTGGAACATTTCACCCTGTCGTTTTAATTCCTGGAAACGAAGCTGAGACGTTTGCGTTAGCGTTAGATCAGCTTCGTCTCCTAAGAAACCTACTGTGCCACCAGACAAGCACCCAAAAGATTGACAAGACAACTTTTGATTATTATAGAGCGGTTTTCATTTGAGTGTCGAAAAGTAATTGGTTTTGCACTTTCTACACGATGCGATTGACTTAAAAGATTCGCGCCACCTTTTCATCCAATCAGAAGTAAGACCAAAGCCAATTGTGACGCGCTTGCATGCATTTTCCCGCGCTTTGCGTCAGCCACATGTAATTACTTCGAGTTTTGATTGGTTCAATGTATTGTCTGTGTCCTATGTGATTGGCCAGAGTAATTACTTTGGTTTTGGTTTTACGACACTCAAACGAAAACCACTCTATGAAATTAGCAAGAGAGGCGTTTGCTGCACTTAAACAAGACACAACCAGGATTGATGAGATCGGGAAGCTTGAAGAAGAAGACTTTCCCACTGCCAGGGTTCAGAAGTTAGAAGCAGAGTTGAAGAAAGAAAAAGATATTGACGTCAAGTTTAAGCAAATCAATGACCACCTCAACCAAATCGAGAGTCAAATTAAAACCGTACGATCAGACGTAAAAACAGCAGTAACAGATGTACAGACGAAAGTGGAAGAAGTCAGGTCGGACGTCAAAACAGAAGTAACAGATGTGCAGGCAAAAGTGGAAGAAGTCAGGTCAGAAGTCATAACAGCAGTAACAGATGTACAGACGAAAGTGGAAGAAGTCAGGTCAGACGTCAAAACAGCAGTAACAGATGTGCAGACAAAAGTGAAAGAAGTCAGGTCAGACGTACAAACGGCAGTAACAGATGTACAGACAAAAGTAGAAGAAGTGAAAACGGCAGCAGCAGAAGTCGAGACAAAATTGGAAAATGTCGAATCAGAGGTGAAAATTGCAACAAGTGAGCTAGCGAAAATAAAAGCAAACGTCGATGACGTAAAACAAGCAGTTCAGTCCGGAATCACCAAAGGTTTGTAAAGCGTTGGTTTCGTTGCAAAACACTGGCTGATCCGTCATTCATCTTCCTTGGTTAGGAACTGCCTTGCTAGTTGCGTATGTGAAGGTTCCCAAAGCGAATTCCTATTCATATTTTTATAATGGGCAGTTGTTGGTAACGTGTTTCCACGTCTATTTAACATTGATTTATATTAAGATTTAGCGATATGTCGCTATGGGTGAGGCAGTAAATTCATTGCATTTACCATAAAATAACAATCGGTTACATACAGAGATTGTGTGAGCGCCCTGTGCCTGAATTAACAATACCATAGGCCCGGCGTAGTCAATCGAACGAAACCGAACCAAAAATCAATCGAACCCATCCGTCGGATTGTTGTTCGATTGTTTCTGTAATCGAACATAATCGAACTGAAACTTTTCGGTGAGTTCGATTACCGAGCTCAATCGAACCAATCGAACTCAATCGATGCGATTAGTTCGATTTTGTTTGGCAGAAAGACAAAACGCAGCCAGTTTTAATTGAATCGGAAAGATCATCCCCCTGGGATGTATGTGCAGCAGTTTGAAAACAAAAATATTTCAATTAACCCGGAACTAAATCTTTGTTGTTAAAGTTATTAAAAATCGATAAATTCACAACTAATTATGCTGGAGAACATGAATGGCACAGTAAAACCACGTAAAATGTCTTTCCCAGGACAATACCGACTGGGTGCTGAACAAAACGCAACAGCTATTTCGAGAAAGGTTGTCGAAAAAAATGTGCACGCGACCATCCCGANCAGCAGCAGAAGTCGAGACAAAATTGGAAAATGTCGAATCAGAGGTGAAAATTGCAACAAGTGAGCTAGCGAAAATAAAAGCAAACGTCGATGACGTAAAACAAGCAGTTCAGTCCGGAATCACCAAAGGTTTGTAAAGCGTTGGTTTCGTTGCAAAACACTGGCTGATCCGTCATTCATCTTCCTTGGTTAGGAACTGCCTTGCTAGTTGCGTATGTGAAGGTTCCCAAAGCGAATTCCTATTCATATTTTTATAATGGGCAGTTGTTGGTAACGTGTTTCCACGTCTATTTAACATTGATTTATATTAAGATTTAGCGATATGTCGCTATGGGTGAGGCAGTAAATTCATTGCATTTACCATAAAATAACAATCGGTTACATACAGAGATTGTGTGAGCGCCCTGTGCCTGAATTAACAATACCATAGGCCCGGCGTAGTCAATCGAACGAAACCGAACCAAAAATCAATCGAACCCATCCGTCGGATTGTTGTTCGATTGTTTCTGTAATCGAACATAATCGAACTGAAACTTTTCGGTGAGTTCGATTACCGAGCTCAATCGAACCAATCGAACTCAATCGATGCGATTAGTTCGATTTTGTTTGGCAGAAAGACAAAACGCAGCCAGTTTTAATTGAATCGGAAAGATCATCCCCCTGGGATGTATGTGCAGCAGTTTGAAAACAAAAATATTTCAATTAACCCGGAACTAAATCTTTGTTGTTAAAGTTATTAAAAATCGATAAATTCACAACTAATTATGCTGGAGAACATGAATGGCACAGTAAAACCACGTAAAATGTCTTTCCCAGGACAATACCGACTGGGTGCTGAACAAAACGCAACAGCTATTTCGAGAAAGGTTGTCGAAAAAAATGTGCACGCGACCATCCCGAAAGGTAATATGGGATATGATCAATACGCTGTTCCTGAACTCAAAACCACCCACAATACCTTTCGGGATTGTCGCGTGCACTTTTTCCGACAACCTTTCTCGAAATAGCTGCATACAAAATAGTCACTACTACCAGTGTTCTCATTACCTCAAAGTAAATGTCTATTAAAACTACAAGCGGCGTTTGTAGAAAGCTGTTGCACAGCAGAAGCAATACAAGCTTACCTTTTGGCGTTACAATGCTTCATTAAAAGAAAAAGAAATCCAACATCGACGGCCAAAGAGCACTGTCTCGTATTCCGTCCTCTGTCATCTTTGCGTACTCGTGTTTGAAATTGAAGCCAATTGATACATAACTTATTTGAACGTAAAGCCTTGTTTGAAATCAGATGAAACTGGTTTATGCTCGATTGTTGCAGTGTTCGATAAGGTTCAATTGTTTAAGTGTTCGACTTCCGAACGTTCTATTGACTACGCCGGGCATAGGGAACCCTAGTCTCCTTCGCAACCGTTATTAGGGTGGTCACTCGTCACGCAACGCTCAGCGTTGCGTGACGAGTGACGACCCTAATAACGGTTGCGAAAGAGACTAAGGGAACCCACGCTCTTATTTGTAAACTGCAAATGGAAATTAAATGAGAGATAAAACCTTATCTGTGGAGTGTTCAGTTCTTGAATCTGCTGCGAAGCAAGGTGAAATTGAAGTTGCTGTACGATGCAAAAACGAATGTTTTACGATGTTTGTGTCGGCGCTTTGTCCGTAAATTTCACAATGCTTTATTTTATGTGGTTTGTCTTGCATATCACTGTTGGGTCACGCGGTTGTCATTATCGTCTGGCGTTTCACTGTTGGTTTATTAATTAACGGTACAGTAATTGGCGCGCGTTAATTAAAATTGTTGATAAATTAATAACCAACAGTGAATAGCGAGAGACAATAACAACCGCGTGACATCAACAGTGAAATGCGAGACAAACCATCTAAAATAAAGCATTGTGACTTTTACGGACACAGCTCCGACACAAACATCGTTTTTGCATCGTAGAAACAACTTCCATTTCACTTTTCTGCGCTGCAGATTCAAGAACAGAACAGGTCAGTTTTCATCTCTCATTTAATTCCCATTTGCATTTTACAAATAAGAGCGTGGGTTCCCTACTAGTGCAATGCCAACAACATCAGCAAAGTTACCAATAAACGTAGCCTCCCACGCAGATGTTCTTAAGGGTTCGTCACGCGTTAGTGGGGCAGGAACGCGTGACGAACCCCTAACAACGTCTGCGTGGGAGGCTACAATAAACACCACCCTCGAATAAACGCCGAACCCAATCAGAAGAATGCTGCGTTCTGTTTAGTTTTATAAGAAAATATCTCGGAACCACCTCTCAGCAAAAAAAAAACGACACATCGAAACCTTTTACAAACATATCAATCTTTCTGTTTTTCCAAGAGCCATTATGGCTCTTCGATTTGCATAATATTTATTTATCTGTCTATTTATTTATTTACATTATTTATTTAGTTAGTTAGTTATTTAGTTTCCCGGCATCAAAGGGTCCACAGGTTGCAAAATCAACCTAGTCCCCAGGGCTCATTTTTTTAAAAGGAAAAGCTCTGGGGACGAGGTTGGTTGCAAAATATACCCTTGAATACAATTTATTTACATATGTCATTTATAACATGACTAGACTGCAGCTGCGAGCAGTCTCTTATTTTTCTTTCTAGTAACGGAGATCGAAAACACCACTATGACGAGAAACGAGGGCGGAAGCCCCAATCTCTGCCCAGTCTCTCCTCCTTTTTGCCATAACGATTAATTTGCATGATTTCACTTTTTCGTTCGCCCCGCGACCGGCAATAAGAAAAGAAGGACGATTGCTCGCGGTCTAGCTTATATGATTTGTTTTCCCCAAGGATATCACGTGATATTACTCTAAAAAATTGTTTCCTCTTTAATTTTCTTCTTCTTCACATACATGATGTACTAAAAGAGAAGGAATAAATTCCCTTAAAAACATCACATGAACTACAATGGGAAAAAATATAAATGCTAAAAAGGATCTTTTATTAAAGGATCTACAGCTGTAGTCGATTGAACGTTTACCTTAGCCTGGCGCGGTCCTTATATCTCATTTTTTTTAATATTATTGTTAATTACAACTACAAAGTTCTGATTATTCCCTGCAATGTAATTTGTTTGCGTTGTCTCTTCAGATTTATTTGTGCCCGACTCGTCCATACCTGATGAAGTACCAAACTTTGTTGGCCGCGACAAAGAATGCAAAGAAGTAGAACATCATTTAACAGATGAACTTACTCGACTGGTCAATGTCTGGGGTCCACCTGGATTTGGAAAAACATCAGTGGCCATCAGAGTGGCGCATCAGTTACAAGAGAAGAATTTTCCAGTTTACTTTGCATCCGTTCGTGGAATGAAAAGTATGGAGGATTTACTGTCGAAACTGCTAAGTATCTTCGTAGACGATAAACAGGTGAGCCGCATTTCATCGTCTGACCTCGTCATTCAATGTTTACAGCAAATTCGAAATCCTTTAGTAATAATACTAGACAATGTCGATGATTTACTCGAATCTGAGGATGCCAAACGGAAACAGCACGTGCTTCGATTTATTGAGGAAATCATTACTCACTGCAAAGAAATCAAGCTTCTCTTAACTACTCGCGAAAGTCTCGACTACTTAAGCCACAAGCTTTCCATCTACTTGGAGAAAATTAACGTATTGGACGGAATTTCGTCAGCGCGTCTGGTAAGGCTGTTGTTACCAGATGCCTTGGAAGACGACTGCAAATGTGTCGTGAGGGAGTGTGGGAACGTTCCTATGTCCATGCGACTAATGTGCAGCATCATTAAGGAAGCAAATATATCCATAAATGCGCTTTTAGAAGAACTAAGCGATTCAACGATAGTTGAAGTTTTGAACAGTGAAAGCTTTCCTGACGATTTCCGAATTAAATCTGTAATTAACACATCTTTTAAAAGGCTCATGATTCCCGAACGAAACGCATTTGTTTCGCTTTCTGTTTTTCCTGAGTGGTTTGGAATAAAGGAAGCTCAAGTCATATTAAATGTAAAATCAGAGGTTAAAACCAAACAAATTATTCGATCACTAAAGAGAAAGTCCCTTATACATTGTGGAGACAGTTTTAGCCGTTTTACAGTCCATTCACTTTTACGGTCCTTTATTAAGGAAGAAGTAAAGAATGACGAAGCGGTTGAAGCTGTATTTCTGAATGCACAGGTTCAGTTTTATGACCATTACATTTCTAGGTGTGAAATTGCTAACAAAAACTTCCTGAACGGAAGTTATTCAAAGGCCTTCAGAAATTTCCTTGATCGGAGTGAGTGCATCATTTCATCCCTTTCTAATGGACCTGGAAATGACAGGACCTACACCAAGGCTGTAGACTTGTTATCTGAGGCAAAATCATTTCTCTATGTTGCACTTCATGGTGAAAAAAAGTTATTTGAGCGCCTTTATGACATAGCAATAGAAGAAGCAGAAAGAAGGGAGAAGGTCGGCGACAAAAAAATGTTACTCTCTGCCAAAGAATTTCCTCTTAGCCAGTGGTATCAGCCAGACACTGCTAAAAGCTACTTCTGGCTTGGTAGAGTGCAGCGTGAAGCGGGAGACCTGACAACAGCATTGGAGTCTCTACAGTTGAGCTTACGATTAAGAAAAGAACTGTTAGGAGATCATCCTGATACAGCCGACGACTTTCATGAGCAAGGCGTTATCCATACTTTTATGGGTGATTATAAGTCAGCTGTTGAAGCACTCCAGAAAGCAGCAGACATAAATTTATCTTTGCGTGGAGGTCACAAATTCACGGCGTTCAGCTACCACTCTCTTGGTGTGGCGCAGAAAGAGATAGGCGACCGTGAAGGAGCTTTAGATTCTTTTCAAAGAGCAGCAGACATGAGATCGAATCTGCTAGGTGATCACGAAAACACGGCGGACAGCTACCACTCTCTTGGTTTAGTGCAGCGTGACATGGGAGACCTTAAAGGAGCTATGGATTCTTTACAAAGAGCAGCAAACATGAGATCGAATGTGCTTGGTGAACACATATACACGGCGCACAGCTACTTCTGGCTTGGTAAAGTGCAGCGTGAAGCGGGAGACCTGACAACAGCATTGGAGTCGGTACAGTTAAGCTTACGATTAAGAAAAGAACTGTTAGGAGATCATCCTGATACAGCCGACAGCTTTCATCAGCAAGGCATTATCCATTATGCAATGAATGACAACAAGTCAGCTGTTGAAGCATTCCAGAAAGCAGCAGACATAAATTTATCTTTGCGTGGAGGTCACAAATTCACGGCACACAGCTACCACAGCCTTGGTGTGGTGCGGAAAGAGATAGGGGACCGTGAAGGAGCGTTAGATTCTTTACAAAGAGCAGCAAACATGAGATCGAATCTGCTAGGTGATCACGAAGACACTGCGTCCAGCTACTATTGGCTTGGTAAAGTGCAGCGCGACATGAGAGACCTTAAAGGGGATCTGGATTCTTTACAAAGAGCAGCAAACATAAGATCAAATCTTCTTGGTGATCACAAAGACACGGCGTCCAGCTACTGTTGGCTTAGTTTTGTGCAGCGCGACAAGGGAGACCGTAAAAGGGGCTCTGGATTCTTTACAAAGAGCAGCAAACATGGAATCAAATCTGCTTGGTGATCACGAAGACACGGCGTACAGCTTCTATGCGCTTGGTTTAGTGCAGCATGACATGGGAGACCTTAAAGGAGCTTTGGACTCTTTACAAAGAGCAGCAAACATAAGATCAAATCTTCTTGGCGATCACAAAGACACGGCGTTCACCTACCACTCTCTTGGTTTAGTGCAGCGTGACATGGGAGACCTTAAAGGAGCTATGGATTCTTTACAAAGAACAGCAAACATGAGATCGAATCTGCTAGGTGATCACGAAGACACGGCGGACAGCTACCTCTGTCTTGGTTTAGTGCAGAGTGACATGGGAGACCTTAAAGGAGCTATGGATTCTTTGCAAAGAACAGCAAACATGAGATCGAATCTGCTAGGTGATCACGAAGACACTGCGTCCAGCTACCACTGGCTTAGTCAAGTGCAACGTGACATGGGAGACCTTAAAGGAACTATGGATTCTTTACAAAGAGCAGCAAACATGAGATCAAGTGTGCTTGGTGATCACGAAGACACTGCGTCCAGCTACTACCGGCTTGGTCAAGGGCAGCGTGACATGGGAGACCTTAAAGGAGCCATGGATTCTTTACAAAGAGCAGCAAACATGGATTCAAATCTGCTTGGTGATCACGAAGACACGGCGCACAGCTACTTCTGGCTTGGTAAAGTGCAGCGTGAAGCGGGAGACCTGACAACAGCATTGGAGTCGGTACAGTTGAGCTTTCGATTAAGAAAAGAACTGTTAGGAGATCATCCTGATACAGCCGCCGCCTTTCATGAGCAAGGCGTTATCCATTATGCAATGAATGACAACAAGTCAGCTGTTGAAGCATTCCAGAAAGCAGCAGACATAAATTTATCTTTGCGTGGAGGTCACAAATTCACGGCACACAGCTACCACAGCCTTGGTGTGGTGCAGAAAGAGATAGGGGACCGTGAAGGAGCTTTAGATTCTTTACAAAGAGCAGCAAACATGAGATCGAATCTGCTAGGTGATCACGAAGACACTGCGTCCAGCTACTACTGGCTTGGTTTAGTGCAGCATGACATGGGAGACCTTAAAGGAGCTTTGGACTCTTTACAAAGAGCAGCAAACATAAGATCAAATCTTCTTGGTGATCAGAAAGACACCGCGTCCAGCTACGATTGCCTTGGTAAAGTGCAGCGCGACATGGGAGACCTTAAAGGGGCTATGGATTCTTTACAAAGAGCAGCAAACATAAGATCAAATCTGCTTTGTGATCACGAAGACACGGCGTACAGCTTCTATTCGTTTGGTTTAGTGCAGCATGACATGGGAGACCTTAAAGGGGCTCTGGATTCTTTACAAAGAGCAGCAAACATAAGATCAAATCTTCTTGGTGATCACGAAGACACGGCGTACAGCTTCTATTCGCTTGGTTTAGTGCAGCATGACATGGGAGACCTTAAAGGAGCTTTGGACTCTTTACAAAGAGCAGCAAACATGAGATCAAATCTTCTTGGTGATCACGAAGACACCGCGTCCAGCTACGATTGGCTTGGTAAAGTGCAGCGCGACATGGGAGACCTTAAAGGGGCTCTGGATTCTTTACAAAGAGCAGCAAACATAAGATCAAATCTTCTTGGTGATCACGAAGACACGGCGTACAGCTTCTATTCGCTTGGTTTAGTGCAGCATGACATGGGAGACCTTAAAGGAGCTTTGGACTCTTTACAAAGAGCAGCAAACATGAGATCAAATCTTCTTGGTGATCACGAAGACACCGCGTCCAGCTACGATTGGCTTGGTAAAGTGCAGCGCGACATGGGAGACCTTAAAGGGGCTCTGGATTCTTTACAAAGAGCAGCAAACATAAGATCAAATCTTCTTGGTGATCACGAAGACACGGCGTACAGCTTCTATTCGCTTGGTTTAGTGCAGCATGACATGGGAGACCTTAAAGGAGCTTTGGACTCTTTACAAAGAGCAGCAAACATAAGATCAAATCTTCTTGGTGATCACGAAGACACCGCGTCCAGCTACGATTGGCTTGGTAAAGTGCAGCGCGACATGGGATACCTTAAAGGGGCTCTGGATTCTTTACAAAGAGCAGCAAACATGAGAACTAATCTGTTTGGTGATCACGGAGATACGATGAGCAGCTTAAATGAATTACGTGCCGTCCAGAAAAAATTGTCATCAGGGCGTTCTTTCTTTGGCAAAGTATTTAGGCGGAAAAATCGACACGAAAATAATGACAAGTTATAAAATAAGCGGGAGGTATTAAGCGCAAAATTTTGGTAAATCATATCTATTAGTAGCTAAACAAATAAATGGCCAGTACATGGCCTGCAGGGGACCGTTTCTTGAAAATCCCGATAATTAACGGGCCCGTAAAGCTGTTGTTTACATGCAAGATAGAAGTTTCAATAGTTTTGCATCTAACATGATAAAACTATCAGTTAATAAAACAAAATGGATTATTTTGCTAGCCAGGACCCGCGCTCTTATTGTTTTCATTTCGATTTGAATATTTGTTTTCGGGCCCGAAAAGTTATCGGGACTTGGAGAAACGGACCCCAGGAGCGCTCAACCAACGTTTATTCTTGTCACAGCGTTTTCTGAAACTTGCTGATTTTTAGATTAATATCATTATCCTCGAATTCGCACTATTGGAGAGGTCGCAGAAACGAGTCGGCATAAAAAGCAGTATTGCAACGGTATTTTTAAATACTTGTTTTAGTAGTTTTTCAATTAGCCAGGTTTTACTGCTCTTTGTAACTGAGTGTAAATCGACATTGAAAACCCCTATTGGGAAATGTTAAAATAAACTTCTTGTATATCACACAAGAGATGCTAAAGGATAACTCAAACACTTAAGGCTATATTTGGTGTTAGTATTTACCAAATCAGGGAAAAGCAATTTTCGCGCGTTTTGATTGGCTCCCGTAACGCAGAATATCCTTGGCTATTGACTGGTTTGCGACCGGAGCCAAGATGGCGTCTCGTTTCGAGACATGTTCGAAAGACGAAATTTGAGTGAAAATGAAGAAGTCGCACAAACAAATACCAAGAAAGCGACGAACTTTGGATTGTCGGTGTTTACCGGTAGGTAGAAAATTATTTTCATGCTGAATTTGCAACAAAATCGTAAAAATGCCTCTAACAAAATCCCCGAAATGTTGTAAATTGTGCACAAAGCTCCTAACAAGTGACGTTTTTAATTTTAAAAAGTTACTTTTTTTCATTTTTATCCATCTAATTTGGTAAATACTAAAATAGCTATTCTCTCAGGGTCGCTGAACAGCGCTAGATGTGTACCTTCTACCACTATTCACCTCCCCTTCGAGGGATAGTTGTATACTATTCACCCTAGATAAAGGCAATACAGTGGAGCCCGGCTAATAGAGTCCGTAATTTACCGGGTGTTTGTATAAGCGGATTCGCATATAAAAAACGTAATGGACTTAAGTTTTATCGAAATGGAGACGAAATCAGACATTTTCACGAGGAAATTGTGTTCAGTTTCTCAGCTGTAACTGTAACAAGAAAGAAAGAAACCTGGCGATCTTTTATCGTAGCCTTGGATTATCATTACAATATATAGATTTAGCTCGGGCTACAAGGGAAGCTCACGTTATGTCTATAGTTCACTCAAATAAAATATAAAATCGTGAAATGCTGAGCGGCGGCGGCAACGAAAAGGGCCAAAAACATAGACGTCACCGAAACGTACGTGAACGCCCACGTGGCATCTAGTATTTTAATAGTACATGCCCGTTTTCTGTGTTCCTATTTCTCCACCTCACTCTATGCAATGTTGTTTGAAAATTAAAACAGTCTAGTTTCCTTTATATGGGAGTCAACTGTCTACTTGAGGAACGTGAGACATTGATTGGAGATTTGGAAGAAGACACGGCGTACAGCTTCTATTCGCTTGGTTTAGTGCAGCATGACATGGGAGACCTTAAAGGAGCTTTGGACTCTTTACAAAGAGCAGCAAACATGAGATCAAATCTTCTTGGTGATCACGAAGACACCGCGTCCAGCTACGATTGGCTTGGTAAAGTGCAGCGCGACATGGGAGACCTTAAAGGGGCTCTGGATTCTTTACAAAGAGCAGCAAACATAAGATCAAATCTTCTTGGTGATCACGAAGACACCGCGTCCAGCTACGATTGGCTTGGTAAAGTGCAGCGCGACATGGGATACCTTAAAGGGGCTCTGGATTCTTTACAAAGAGCAGCAAACATGAGAACTAATCTGTTTGGTGATCACGGAGATACGATGAGCAGCTTAAATGAATTACGTGCCGTCCAGAAAAAATTGTCATCAGGGCGTTCTTTCTTTGGCAAAGTATTTAGGCGGAAAAATCGACACGAAAATAATGACAAGTTATAAAATAAGCGGGAGGTATTAAGCGCAAAATTTTGGTAAATCATATCTATTAGTAGCTAAACAAATAAATGGCCAGTACATGGCCTGCAGGGGACCGTTTCTTGAAAATCCCGATAATTAACGGGCCCGTAAAGCTGTTGTTTACATGCAAGATAGAAGTTTCAATAGTTTTGCATCTAACATGATAAAACTATCAGTTAATAAAACAAAATGGATTATTTTGCTAGCCAGGACCCGCGCTCTTATTGTTTTCATTTCGATTTGAATATTTGTTTTCGGGCCCGAAAAGTTATCGGGACTTGGAGAAACGGACCCCAGGAGCGCTCAACCAACGTTTATTCTTGTCACAGCGTTTTCTGAAACTTGCTGATTTTTAGATTAATATCATTATCCTCGAATTCGCACTATTGGAGAGGTCGCAGAAACGAGTCGGCATAAAAAGCAGTATTGCAAGGGTATTTTTAAATACTTGTTTTAGTAGTTTTTCAATTAGCCAGGTTTTACTGCTCTTTGTAACTGAGTGTAAATCGACATTGAAAACCCCTATTGGGAAA